ATGACGTGCAGGACAATAGTTATAATGGTTCAGAAATGTACTCCTAAGTTTAAAATAAAAGTTAATGGGAAAGAGCACTTTATAAAACCTGTGTAGCTGTGGCTCTCAACCTACTTTTCTATTCCACATGTGCCTGCGTTGGCAGCGGAGGCTCCCTTGCCGCAGGCTCACCCCCTGCGGGGCAGGACATCACACGGCTGCAAGGAAGGTGTCTGCAGACTGGACAAGGCCGAAATCCCATCCATCCTTAGGGCTTTGTGGCCTTCCCTCAACCGTCCCCCTCTCTCCTGGAATTGCTGCTCTTGGCTCACCACCACCACCACCACAAATCATTACCAGCCTTGGCTGAGCCTCCCTGTTCTGCGAAGGCAGGAGTACCTGCACTGATTTTTATCTGAAGTAAAGACCACTAATATAAGTGTGGGTTTTTCCTATATGTATTGGAAGACAAATCATTTTTATATGTGTAACACGATTGCTGCCTGGCTCTTCTGGCTCATGGGCACAAGTGAAAGGTTAGCAAGCAAAGCCCATATTTGCTCAGACATGTCCTCCTCATGGTGGAAGGACAAGTCCACACTCTTCAGTGTGCTCCTCCTCTGCACAGGAGTAATAGAAGGTGCGCGCCAGTGGCCTCCTACCCTGCTCTGGGCCTCTGGGAGGTGTTTTTCCACATTGCCTGAAGTCATCTCCAGCTGGTTCCTGAGCCACTGCCTGCTCAGGCCTGGGTTGCTGCTGTGCTCACAGTGGGGGAATGTTCCTTCCCCCTTGTCCTTCCCTCCAGCCCAAGAGTAGACACAGACTGAGAAGAAGAGGCAATCCCCCCTTCCATCTCACATGGCAGCTCAGAGCTTGCTGGAGGCTCTGGGATGATTGGGTACACTCACAGGGTCCAAGTCATGGGACATTTCCAAGCCCAACCCCTGGCCTACCTCCGTGCTTTGGAGACCAGCTTCTCTCTTGCCACAGGACTTCCAAGCCTGCCCAGTCTCCTTGGATCCAGGCCCAGAGGGAAGTAGTAGCGCCTCTCACCTGCCTAAGGATAGCCTTCCTAGCCTTATCTTCACAGGGGATCCCCATGGCTCCCTAGGGGGATGTGGTCTGGCACTAATGCCCAGTGCCCCTTTCTCCCAGTGCAGATGCTGTGCGTGCACTGGAGTCAGCTGAAGCACAGGTTAAAATGCAGATTCCTGGGTACCCTCCCAGACTCATTAAGTCAGAGCATAGGAATGGGGTCCAGAGCAGGCTGACATGAGACTGCAGCAGCAGTGCTTCCTAGAAGGAGTCAGATGTTTTTGGTCTTAAGCATTATATAGTGGGGACATTGGTAATACAGGCTGGACCAAGTTTCCCCCAACATGTTACTCCCATGGGAAGAGGGATTTACCACTCTTCTTTAGTCTTCTGGGTCTCAGCTCTTGACCTCTTCTTAACAGTTACTTAACAGGTTACTTAACAGTTACTTAACAGTTTTAACTTTTAACCTTTAAGCCTGGGCACCTGCCTCTCAAGGCCACCCCACGCCCTCTCTCCACCGTGTCCCCCACAAGGCCAGTGCTCAAGGAGTCATTATGTTGTATGCCCTGTTTCCTTTTACCAGCTTAGTGCCCCTCAGCCTGCCCCATCCTGACTCTGGGGCCTCAGAGTTTGTGGCAGGGAGGAGGTGGTGAACTCTGGCCCATTAGAGGGGAATTTCATCAGAAGAGCAGTCCTGATAAGGACTGGAGCACCTGGTCCCACTGCTCTCCAAATATCCCACAGACAGACTCTTTTCTATGAAACGGTTAAGCAGGTTAGGAAGAAAATTTTTTATGCTTTATGACAGCCCCCTGGGCTAGCATTTTCTTAACTTTCACCTGGATTTGGCCAACTACATGATTCTCCTGGAAGTTTGGCATCCACAAGGTACATATGTTGTCACCTCAGATTTTCTCCGCTGTGGTGCCAGCAAAGCACAGGGGGATTGAGGATCAACTCTCAGTATTACCTTGTCTGAGATATGTGTCCAAAGTAGTAGCCTTTGCTACTGAGAGTCTGCAGACTCCTTTGGGGTCCCCCTCCAAACACCCACTGTTCAAATGTCCCAGCACCTCCCCTTCGGAACTGCTCTTTAACATAGTTCTGTTAAATATGGTCTTGTAATAGGTATTGTCTGTTAAGGTTTTTCAGGAGGAATCCACAAAGACCACGAGAACAGCTAGGGAGGCCTCAGGCAGCAAGCCCAGGGAGCCCCTAGAACTCTCCACTTGATTTAAAATTAAAACTAGAAGAAAAAACTTAGAGACTCCAAATTTCATTTAAAAATGAATTAGAAACAGCTATGCTTCACATTTCATTCTAACATCTACGTTTCTTTACATTCCAATGCCAATGAAATTGATTTGGCATCCAACAAAACTTAAATGTGATTTAATTAAGTGGCACTTAAAAAGCATTAAAAGACCCATGTATGCTTGTTGAAGCATGGGGCCCTTTTGCCTTCAGTGGGGAGCAAGCCATGCTTCCTGTTTCTCTGCAGGGAGACATAGGTTCAGGAAGACATCAGACAGGAGTGGGCAGAGAAGAAGGATGGTGGCACATTTCTTTAGGCTGAAAAAATGACTACATTTCCCAAGATAAAGTTCTTAATGAATGACAGAGAAACAGCCAGATGACCTCTACCTAAAATTCTTGATTTCATTTTAAATGTTTATTTGAAAAGTATCTCCACCCCTGACACACACACTCACATGCAAAGTAAAACTTCCACCAGTGAAGGCATTTACAGTATGGCGGAAGCAGTGGTCCTGAGGGCTCTTCCACCCACCACCCCACCTACTTCTCCACACCTTCTACCAGGAGGTAATCCTGTGATTTCTGCCAGTAATGCTGATTCATACATCATTTACCTTTGATCTACACTGGAATGCAGCACCCTGAGCACTGGCATCTCCCAGAAACTTTATGCACCGGGGTTTTTCTCAGAATTGTGTGAAATCTCACCTGCCCTGCTCTTCCTCTGGTCATGGAGGGCAGGTCCGGGTGGTGGTGGGGTCTGTTCTGAGGGCTGAGACACAGGCTGGGGGTAAGGGTATGTAGGAGGGCAAGGTGGCTGCCGGGTGGTAGTGGTGGGGGGTGTGGGGGCGCTTATATCAGTTCAACACTGAGGCTGCAGAGCCCGAGGGGGATCCCTCCCTCCAGTCCTTGGAGCTGAAGTTGCTGCTGTGAATGCAAATGAGAAAGCTTGAAATTTTATTTCTTAGAAGAAAAAGTTTGGCAGGAAAAGTAAGGGTCACTATTCAAGAGGAAGAAATTTCCTAATTCCAGTTACAGTGCTTGAGTAGTCAGCAAATGTTTTACTCACATGGGAAGAGGCTCCACAAAAAATGTTAAATTAAAAAAAAGATACATAATTGGGTACATACAATGCAATCCCCAATTGGGATCCCAATCAATTTCTATATGTTTATCTCTTTATGAATATGCAAACACAAATAGAAGAAGCCTAAATTAAAATCTACTAAAATGTTATCAAATTTATACTTTATCCTTACCTGTATTTTTCTGTTTTACTGTAATGAAAATGTATTTCTTTTGTAGTAACATGTCTATTTAAAAACAAAATACAAAGGTAGAATGCTACATTTATAAAAGCTTAAACTGGTCTTTGAGAAAAAGACACTAAATCTAGGGTTACCAAAGACGTGGGAAAACTGGCACCATACATCAAGAAGAGTAATTTTTTTTAGCCTTGGGTTCTCAGTAAGGATGACTAAATATTTCCAAAGAGTTCCAAGTGGTAATCTCTGAATAAACCTGATAAGTGATTTTGACTGCAAATGAAAATTATATCCCCTATTTCATCACGTGTGAGAAAGAACTTACAAGGAACTTCTATAAGTGGTTTCATAGAGTCCCAGATGCCTTTGAAGTCCTGGGGTGCAGGGGGCTCTGAGGCTGCCTGAAGCAATGAAAAGGCTGGCTCTCTGGGTGCTGTGAAGCCACAGGGAACAGGTGGCTGCCTCTGGAAGGTGCATGCTCACAGCCAGCCTGTAGCCGCCAGCAGGCTCTGAAAGCCTTCTTTCAATGCTGTGCCCAGAGTTTTCAGTGAAGGAATCCATCTTTCTTCTACAAGGTGTGATGCTTTCTTACCATGACCTCACATTTAACGTCATTAGATAGATATCCACATTTCTGCCCTCTCCTCTACTCTACAGCTAAGAAAAATGCTACAGGTTGGTGCATAGGACCTGAAAGTGAAAAGAACATAATTTTGACATGGTTGATTTTTACACTGACTGCAACTAAATCCTTCTTTTACTCTGAGGGGTTATGTTTTCCTCTGGAGGGACCTGAGGCCACTTCAACCTTCTGCCCTGGCCTCTCTTGGACCATCTGCACAACAACCTGTCAGGCTGGCTAATGCAAAAGAAGGCAAATAACTATTGTTTTAAAGGAGACTAATGAGAGACTTGACTTTCAGTAATGTATGTTAGCATTTTAAATATTATTCCATTGGGGGGGGGCAAGATATAAATCTGTAGGACTGATAAGGTTTCCAAATACCAACATTAAAATTTGGTTCAGATTTTTAAAGGTGACTATTTTCCCTTCCCTGCCCCCTGCCCATCTTTAATTTTTGCTGCTCCTAGCTCCTCACTTACCATAGAATGGAAGCTCAGATGCTTCTGGCAACAATACGTTATTAGTAAGCGATGGTGCTTTGTTATTAGATTGCATTTTATTATTTCCTTCAGCTCAATGTGTACCTGATATTGGAGCACTTTCCCTATGGGTTGAGATTGACAGATGCTGCACATTGTGTGGTTTTATTATTTTTGTGGGCCCTGCTTCCTGGCAGCCAGGAGAAACCCTTTGCTGTGCAGGCTGAAGGATGGGCTGGAATTGCCATGTTCTGACTGGTAAAGCCTAGCATCCATGGCCCAGAATGGCTGCTTTTGTTTGCATCACAGAATAGCCTGAAGCAGCTGCTGTTCACTAGAGATGTTCTGACGAGAAGATCAGTAGGCATTTAGCACAGCTATCCTGGCCTCTTTGCACAGTGGGTCTAATTTACCATCACCTCCTAGGAAAATAGATATAATTTTCTTTTGACCAGCTTTATACACAATCTCATGTCATATAAGACATACATGGCTTTCACAAGGAGAGCATTTCATAGTACACAGGCATGTGAATTGTTAGTTAGCCTTTAGTAGAGTATTAGTTGATTGCAAAAGTTTTTCCTTCTGAGCAGAGTGAGGTATGCACAATGCCAGCCTGCCAGGCCAGAAACTCTCCAGGGCAAAGAAATCCTTAGAATGTTCTGATAATGCCAGGCACTGCTCGTGTAATGACTCTAATTATCTTAGCAAGCCTAGATAGAATAATCCTGTTTTGAAGGCAAAGATAAAACATACATTATTAAAATATAAAAAAACTCCCAACAACCTGAAATGATCTATTATCTCTAAATTCCTGTCATATCATTTGAAGTCTTAGGCTAAAACTTTGTTTTCTTTTTGTCTGCCTTCTGTTTCCAGGGTTCTGGGAAGAAGCCCAGACCATCAAACACTTCACTATGTGTGTTGTGTTTTAGTACATCCTCATTTATGTGCTACAGACCACAGGGCTTTGAGTGAGAAGGTAAAACTTCAGAAAGAAACCCAATTTGAATCTGGGCATGACACTGACCACTTCAACTAGAGGCTGAACAGGCCTCAGAGCAGGCAAAATGCTGGTTGGAAAGAGTGCTGAGGGACTTACCAAACTCCAAGTCTTTGATGTTGCACTGGAAGACAACTCCATTCACTACAAGTTCTACCACATTCCAGTCTTCTATCTTCTCTAGGATGACCTTGTGTCCATCCTCAGCCAACACAGCTGGAAAAGACAGAGTGGGATGTGGATGACTTGGTGACAGACTCTAGAGTAACCTGATGTGCTGAGGTCCTCATGGGTGACAGCAGCTGGTCTGCTGTCCAGTTGCGCACGGCTGTAAGGCAACTGTCCTGGAGGGCACTTTGCTGGTGCTGCCCCAGTGTGCCCTCGCCTATGCTGGGAAGCACATCCAGACACCCGAGCAATTCAGATTTTGGTTGAGATTTGCCCCTAGGCCTGTATGGTCTGTGAAAGTATGGGCTTTCTCTAGGAAGAGGTTTTGAGCTTTTCTTATAGAGATGATACCCAGTGTTGGAGCAGATACAGGGAATTAGGTAACTTCTTTCTCTGTTGATGTAAATATAAACCGGTCATGTTTACGGAGGGTAATATGGCTTCAAAAGCCTCAAAAAAAAAAAAAAAAGAGAAATAAAAGGATCCTAATCTCTGGCACAGGAAATTGCAAGTAAAGGGACAGCTTCTTAAGGAAAAAATTGGAAATATAGGCAGACCTCTGCAACAAGATGTCCCTTTCTGTAGTATTATAATAGCAAAATACTGTGAAAAACATATGCCTAATCATAGGAGGATGGTTAAGTAAATGGTCATAAATTCATATAATGAGGTTTTATTTGGACATTTCAAAAAATGTCTATGGATTCTTTTAGTAGCAAGAAAAATATTTGTAATGTAAGCAAAAAAGTCAAGGTACACATATATGTTAAAATATATTTTCAATATTAATTAAAACATGTATTTGTAATAGGAAAAAAGAAAAAAATATCATAGTTATCACTTTGTAGTGACATTATGTGAAACTTTTTCTTCTTCCAGGAATTTCCAGATTTTCTATAATTATCAGGAACAAAATGCTTTTTAAAAAAGCTAATGGACTAAACTTTTATTCTCACCTTTAGAGTCTGCATTTTAGTTATCACTTATATTAAGAGGCTCCTTCCCTAGAGATCTGTTACAGAAAATTGTTAGATTTATTCTCTGTTGTGGAAATGCAAGAGTATATGTGTTTAGCAGAAATAATGTGCATTGAGCAAACTGGAGCTTTATTTTCTCCAACATGTTTCCTCCACATTTTCTTCATGTGTTCACCCTGTAACATTGGTGCTAAATTACCACCTTGGGCAGGCTTCATACATTGATGAGAGTTTTGGTTAGGAAGGAAAGGGATATCAGATGGGGGGCAAGTTTTTTAAAATCTTAGCATTTCAATCAGTCCTATGTGGAGAAAGGTAGACAATGTGGAGAGAATTAGCAATGTCTGCTAATTGCATTTAATTGCAGAGACAATTGCTGTTTTGAAATGTTGGTGTGTCCACTTCATCCCTCAATCAGTTCAAGAACATCCAGCCCCAACTGTGAACATTGTAATTGTGTGATTTTAATTTCACTTCTGGAAAGTTCAGAAAGCAATGCAGTGAGCATCTCCATTAACGAGATAGCACTCTGCGGGCACCCAGTGGTGGCCCTAATTGACCTTGTGTCAGCTAATGCCTCTCTCTACAAAACACCCGTATCTTTTTCTTTGGCATATTTATGTTATCGTATCCTATTTAAGTGTGTGTTCTTAAACATTTTTGGAGAAAGGCATCCTATTTAAGTGTTGTGTTCTTAAACATTTTTGGGGAAAGGCATCGGCTTGGGCCAATGACTGGTTTAAATGAAGCAGCCCAGTTTGGAATGGCCAGTGGGTGGTCTAGGACGCATAAAGGCGGTCTATATGCACAGATTTCTGGGGATCACGCTGTCTCCCAGCAGCACCCCCTCAGGAGAGAGGAGGTATAGCCTGAGGGAGAAAAGCATGTGCATAGCTAGAAGGCAGTTTAGCCTCCAGGCTCTTGGTTTCATATTATCTGAAGACACTCCTGGGAAATGTACTTCAATTTGATAGGAAGAAATCAGAAATAAAACAGCTTCTCTACTGCCACCTTATAGCCCATCTCTGGGGCAAGGTGCTGCTTCTATCCTTTTAACACTGAATACTGGCTCTCTGATGGTTGGGGGTTCTAGAGAGGAGGACACAGGCTCTGCTCAGGCTGGTCATGCAACTGCAGCATAAATGAGGAGGGGCTCTGTAGGAGGAGACCCCAGAAAGCTGTGCACCCTGTGGCCTGCCATGGCCCTTTCCCTGCAGGGCCCCAACTGATTGAGCCTTATGTAGCTTCTGGGCTTGGGGTTTGTTTACAAGAACAGCGGCACTCTTCCATGGCAAGGTGTTTCTAAGGTACAGATTTGAGCCGCTAAATAACCCACCCTATGGAGGTGGGCGGGTGCTGAATAATGGAGGTCTGCCTCACACCTGAGCAAATGAAGCCCAACTGGAAGAAATCCTTTTAAAAGAATTTATCACTCTTCACTTTACCTTCTGTTTGGTCACAAAGCATGGGCTCTGGGGGCCTTTAAGGGCACATGTCTCCCTCACTGACCACAGTCCTCCCAAATCCCAGGTGCCCAGTAGTCACAGCTCATGGAATAAACAAACTGATAATGGAGTTGGGGCATCCCCAGTGACTCTTTTGGACCCTGAGTGACTTAAGTCCGATTCTTTTTAAAACGATGAGCCACCTCAGAGTCTACAGAGTATATTCACTCTCAGGATGTCTGTCCCCCTCTCATCAGTCCAGGAAGTGTTGAGCCCAGCTGTAGGGCGGCCAGTGCAGGCTTACAGGGATCAAACTCAGAGAGACACCAGAATTCCTGCAGCTCATCCAAATGCCACCTCTCTACATGGAAGACCCATTTTTTCCTATGAGTGGCTATGGGTTGTCTATTCAAAGAAAGGTCAGATAAATATACTCCATGCAACAAAGTCTTTGCAAAGGCAGTGGCTAAACTCCAACATAAATCAACCAGAAGCTGTAAGGCCACCCACAGAATGCCTGCTTCTTTGAAGTGGCACCTAATTCTTCAAGGGGGCTCTGGGGAAACCAAAGGGATATGGAAAAGCTTCACTCTTCTTAGTGCTGGTGGAATTGTGCACCATTTGTGAATGATTTAAATGCTGCTGGTTAGGAAGTCAAGGCAAACAGAAAGACAGGCATCTTCCCATCCTCTGCCTGGTATAGATGCAATGCTGATTGATGCTCATCAGTGTGTACAGCTATGCATAGCTAGGGACGGGAGGGTGACACAAGTAGCATCTTAGGTAAATAAGTGCAGATTCTATTTTTATGGGTCGATTTCAATTCTTTCTCATCCCTTTTAGTAGAACATTTGGCTGACTTAAGAATAGTAGGCAAGAAGCAACCATGGCCAGGGAAATTACTGAGAACTTTTTGTTAAGCATGGTTAGTTTTATTATTGAGGCCATAGGAGAGACATTTGTGCTGAACTATTATAATTCATGGGTAGTAAAGAACAAAAATGTTCAGATTTCTTAAGGCATAGTAAGTTCAGGAAAGATCAGGCATAATTCCAAATCCAGCAGGGCTTCAGGAAATTTAAAGGGCTATGATTTTAAGACACACAGAATTTAGATGCAGATTTTACATGAGGGTCTGAAAACGCACCACTCTGTGCCTGGGGTGAAGTTAGCACTGGGTCTAAAGTGGTCAGGCCATGTGGGTGGCGACAGATGCTCCCTCCTTGCTTTGCTTCTGTTAACCCCCTGGCATTTGTCACCAGCCCTCAGTAAATGTTGGCTGCCAGTGTTATATGAATTATCATTCAGGGATATTCAAAGTTAACTTTAAAAATCAACCACCTGCTGATACCTTGTAATACTCAAGTCTCCTTCCACCACAAAAATTCTCCCATTGATCTTCTCAAAACACTCCTTCCCCTCCCCTACTGTGGGGAAAACTGCCTGTACTCTGCCTCCTTGGCTGTACCCGCTGCTTTACCTCCTGCAGTTAGAGCCTTCAGCCCACCATCTCCTGATCCTGAGTACTCAGAGGTAAAGAACTGTCAGCATATTCAATGACTCATCCAGTCTTCCCTGACCCCTCTTAGCACACTGGTGCTCTGATCTATCTCCTTCCTTGTTTCTTTAAATAATTTTGCTGGTAGAAAAAAAAACTTTTTTAACTCTAAAATTTTATCAAGTTATAAATACACTGCAGCCCATAATTTAAAAAAAAAACCTTAAAAATTATAGAAAAGAAGAAATGCCATATCTGAAATGAAACATGTAATGGAGGGATTTAAAAGCAGATTAGATGTAGTAGAAGAGATGGTAAATGGAATAAAAATTCGAGAAGAGGAACACAAAGAAGCTGAGGCACAGAGAGAAAAAAGAGTCTCTAAGAATGAACAAATATTGAGAGAACTGTGTGACCAACCCAAATGGAAAAATATTCGCATTATAGGGGTACCAGAAGAAGAAGAAGAGAGAAAAAAGGATAGAAAGTGTCATTGAGGAGGTAATTGCTGAAAACTTCCCCAATCTGGGGAAGGGGATTGTCTCTCAAGCTATGGAGGTGCACAGATCTCCCAACAAAGGGACCCAAAGAAGACAACATCAAGACATATAGTAATTAAAATGGCAAATATCAAGGATAAAGGCAGACTTTTAAAAGCAGCTAGAGAGAGAAAAAAGATCACATACAAAGGAAAACCCATCAGGCTATCATCAAATTTCTCAACAGAAACCTTATAGGCCAGAAGGGAGTGGCATGATATATTTAATGCAATGAAGCAGAAGGGCCTCAAACCAACAATACTCTACCTGGCAAGGTTATCATTTAAATTTGAAGGAGGAATTAAGCAATTTTCAGATAAGCAGAAGCTGAGGGAATATGCTTCCCACAAACCACCTCTACAGTGCATTTTGGAGGGATTCCTATAGATGGAAGTATTCCTAAGGCTAAATAGATGTCAACCAAGGGATAGACACAGAGTACAGAATATGATTCATAACATACAAAGAATGGAGGAGGAGGAAAAAACGTGGTAAAAAAAAAAGAACCTTTAGGTTGGGTTTGTAATAGTATATGAAGTGAGTTAAATTAGACTGTTAGATAGTAAGGGAACCTTGGTAACTCTTGAAC